CACAAGCTCTCGTAATCAGAGCAGCTGATTTCCTGCTAGCCATTCATTACATAGCTATTTATAAATCAAATTAAAAAGAATTTTTAAAGTTACCAAATATTCAGTTCAAATATTCATTCAACTGAAAATTTGATGTTATCGCTAACCTTGCAAGTGTAGCATATAGTCATAGTTTTCAGGGAGTCCCAAGTTCTGCATTACGGGAAGTCTGTATCCTAAGGGAATTGAAGCATAGAAACGTGGTGCGATTATACGATGTAATCTACTCGGAAAGCAAACTAACTTTAGTTTTTGAATATTGTGACCAAGACCTCAAGAAGTTTTTTGATTCACTTAATGGACATATTGATCAGCAGGTTAGTTGTATATCGAAACAGATTGACTACTTTTGAATTAAATTTTCAGTGATATCAAATCTTAGTGTTCAGATGGCGAAGTCGTTGATGTTGCAACTATTACGTGGATTAGCATTTTGTCATGCGCATCACGTCCTTCATCGTGACCTCAAACCGCAGAATCTGCTTATCAATTCCAATGGCCAGTTAAAACTGGCTGATTTCGGCCTTGCTCGAGCGTTCGGGGTTCCTGTTAGGTGTTATAGTGCTGAGGTGGGTTTCCTACCTTCAAATCTATTTCTTATGTGGAATTTTCTTGTATTGGAGGTAGTGACATTATGGTATCGACCGCCCGACGTATTATTTGGGGCGAAGTTGTATAATACTTCTATCGATATGTGGTCAGCTGGATGCATATTTGCTGGTAAAGCTAGTTGATTGGAAAAGTCGCAAATGGATCAATAAAATCATATCAGAAATATCTAACGCTGGCCGACCCCTTTTTCCTGGAGCTGATGTGGATGATCAACTGAAAAGGATATTCAAACAATTAGGCACGCCCACTGACGACACATGGCCCGGATTGTCGCAGTTACCTGACTTCAAGGTAAAAGATGACCTATTAAAATTGTCATTTAGCAGAATATTGATTATGTCTATCTACATCTCATTTATAGTTTGGAAATAGATGAAAAGTAGCATTTGACTTAGGGAAGATTGTGGGAATCTGGAACTACTTTATTAATATTAATTTATATCATATGTCATGTGCTTAACTATTTTATAGATGCATTTTCAAATATCTCATA